GGGTTCGAATCCTCGTCACACCAAACATGCTCGCCCCTTCAGCTGTGGGGGCGTCATAATGTGACGGTCAATCCCACTATTCGTTGGTAAAAGAGTAGCCCAAGAGTTGGTGGTGGGTGGTGATGACTAGCTGCCTTCCCTCTAGTCTTACACTGCAAAATTAGGGACGGCTAGCGTAGATAGCCCTCGTGTAGCTTGGCGCGAAATTCATAAAAACAAACTAAATGAGCCTCTGAAAATGCACCCGTTTAATCTTATTTATTAATTTTTCTATTCTTTTTGCATACTCATACTGTGACTAAAGGCTTGGTGCGTGTCTTCCAACAGCCTTTGTAACCTTGTATTGTGAAAATTTTTATTTCAAAGATTACAGTTCTTATGTTTGTTTATTTTTTACGAGTTATAAATTTTACAGTAAGGAAGAATCTTTTTTCTCTCTTTGAAACAGTACTTGAGAATGATCGTAGTTGTAAAAAATAGTTAAAATCAGTAAGTGAACTCAAACGAACTAATTCAAAGTTGAGTTTTGTTTACTTAAGTTTATTACACTCTTACCTATTAAATTGATCACACTATTGTTAAGTGCTATTTGTTTTCAAGTTCAATCCCAAAGGAGTTGGAGGCTTGAGCGTTTTGTTGTAACTTGTTAAGGTTTTAATAATGTCTGAACAACTGAAGTTCATACGACGAAATCTCAAAAATAAATTTCGTCATAAGATTACCATTACGAGTTTATCTTTCAAAAGAGAGTCAACTTTGGTTATTATTTGGAGGAGCCAGTAAAAAACAAGTTAATAGAGGATGCTACAGTATTAAATATATTTGGCTGGTTTGTAAAAGGAGAAAGTACTAGTACTTATTTCAAGTGCACACCAAAAAAAGTTATTGTTTAGCGCAAAGCTGTGTAATAGGTTAAATGTTTTGTGGTCATCGCATGGATCGAACCCAGATTATTAGCGTTATAAACTATCGGGGGGGGGGGGAGATTGTAAAAACATTTTTTGTCCAAGTTAAGTAATTAGAATACTGTAAATGTATCCGGATACCTCAGATACTTCAGATATCTTAAAGTGAATTTATCCTTAATCTTAAAATCTACTTACAGATTGTTTTGCTAACAAATATAAAAAGTATTTTATTCACAGTAATGTGGTATTTGTTGAAGAACGTTATCAATGCGATGTACTCCAAGGATTTTCTTTACAAAAGTCTTGGATGTCTTGTAGAGTCGAATTGAATAGAAGGCAAACTCCAAGAACTGTCGAATTTCCAACGACTATTTTATAGGTTTTTTTTGTCTACTTAATAACTTTTAAACTTTACCTATTATTACAAAATATTAATTTATCTTATGTAAAAAAAAATAATCTTGATTGGACTGAACATAATAGAAATTATTTTATTTTGAGCCTGCGTTTCTTCTTGGAGTTTACATCTCATATTAGTCTTTAAAAAGGCCAGGTGGTTAGAGCCCTTGACTCGCAGTCTGAGGGTCGCAGGTTCGAATCCCCGTCACACCAAACA